GGGGGATTCCAAAATACAAACCCTGTCAGATTTGCCAGACCATTTGCAGCCGGATGAAGGGACCAACTCTCATCGAGAAAAGCGTCCTGGTGATATATTCGTCCTTGTGAAAGAATATATTTCATCCTCCAACCTGGCACAACCACCTTTGCTGGTGCTTACAGAAGAGCATCGAGCAACATATCCTTTGACCACAAGCCGTGTCTTGGCATTTTTGACACATGAAAATGGTTGGTTGTGTTGAGTGTTTTGGCAACATCACACCATCTCCAAACAAGACCAGCAAATGTGTTAAATTCAGGCGCCATTCTGAAACGGCCCCTGAAAGCAGAAGCCAGAAGCGGATGGCTGGAGCTTGCAACAGTTTTTTGAGAAGCTTTTGGGAGGAAATCCAGCTACACAACGTGCATCCGCATATTTGAAAGCCTTGGCAAATGGTGAGCTCCCACAGCATCCTCTACATGATCTTTCTTTCCTTGAACAGGAATCCTTGGAAGACATTGTGGTGGCAAGGGAGGAGCCACATCCACATGTTTTGGCAGTTCTATGTCCTTCGGTGCCGCTGCGAATTGTGTGGCGCAGGGGGCGTCAGTGATGAATAGTATGTTACTTATGTGTGCAAAAGGCACTGTAGCTGCCTAAGGCAGTTTGCAATTTCACCAGGGGCTGCCAAGCAGTTGCTTGAAAAGAGTACTGTTTCCCTTACACAATGCACTTGCTTCTTGACTTGGTGCAACCAACGCAACTTTATGACCGGAGATTGAAGCAATAGCTGAGGTAAGCTGAAGCTGGCAGTGACCATGCAGCGCCAGCATGGCTGCTTTGAATGTGCAAAAAAACTTTGACTTATATTGTAAAGTCCTGCAGTTCCTGATCAATGGAAATACACACGCGTGGACACCTCACCCGCAACATGTTGGCCCACTTTAGCCAGCAGGATTTGGAATGAGAGAAAATGACATTTCCGAGTTTCAAAAAACGTCAAAATGATCAGACCCACAGTGATTTTGATAACCACTTAGCGACCAAGATTTCTCTGTCATCTGGGTGCCCAACGACAATAATTTATGTAAGCAAAACACCACCGCCAGTGATTTTGCTACTTTCCAAAAACTTGGAAATCAGGGGACCCCTACTTACGCCCTATAGATTCACTGTCGTCCGGCACCCAAACAACACCGATTCTTTAGTCGCTAAGTGGTAATCAAAATCTTTGTGGGTGTGATCACATTGCACTTAGAAAGTTGAGGGATCATCAAAAGTCAGTGTGGTCTGGGTGCCGAATGACGGAGACTTTCGATGATCCCCCCCCCCAATGACGGAGACTTTCGATGAGCCCTCATCCAATGATGGCAACTTTCAATGAGCCTGTGCCTAATTTTAATCATTTCCAATGCTAAAATTAACCAATAGTCATGCGGCATTTTGATTTTCTCCACTTGTCATTTCTTCCAAAGCTGCCTGAATCTGCCAGCCATGGAATCTCCCTTCCTCAGAGCAGGAGTTGCAGCAGCCCAGGCTGCATTGTGTGTAAAGCCAGAAGTGGGGGGTCAAGAAAGAGGAGCCGGATCCAAGTACTCCTGGAGCCAAGCCGCTTGTGAAAGCAGAGGCATTTTGAATTGACATTATTGCACGATCATGTGTGGAACAGTTCTTGAAATGTGACTTCGTGAATTCTGTTTTATGAAGGTGAAGGCGGAGGAACCATCAGCAAAAAAACGCAAGTCAGAGTATCGAGCAGCTGTGGCAAAACTTCCTGGTGATACTTCACTTGTGAAGGACTTGTATATTTCAGATTTCACTTTTTTGCATTTAGAACTGTGTATATGACATGATTGTTATTAACACATAGGTAAGCACATACGTTCAAATATATACATCACAAGTGAATATTCAGATTTGGGCGTGAGGAGATTTTGGACTACCTGGCAATTTTTTGAGAGCTCAACAGATGGCGCAACCAGTGCACGTTCAGTACATCCCGTGGACCTGGTCATTGATGCATTCAAAGACCCGGACACTGCAGCACTCACAGTTGACAAACTGCACACATTCCTTCAAGAGAGTCTCAAAGTTCACGGAAAGAAGTTTGATGTTGCTGGGTCACCTGTGCCTGAACTTGTTGATTGAATATATTTTACTTTCTTTTTCACAACAAGAAGCCTTTAAACAAACATCAAAAAAACAAAGGCACTTTATTGCTGGCTGTGCAGTGTTCTCTGTTCTCAGGACTTGTCCCAATTGACTGCAGCAGGAGAACGCATTTCAGCTGCTGTGCCACTCTCCAACATCGAAATCAAAAGGCCCGTGGATGGATTGCCGTGCATCAGCGACTATATCACGACGACTATCTCCTTTATATTCAGTGGATCCCGGCTGTTCCGGGAACCATTAGATTTGTATGCGCAGTGTGACCCCAGCACAGCCAACGCCTTCCTTGGAATCAAGAAGGGGTTTACAAGATTGAAACTCGACTATGACTATGATCAATTGTGAAAGGTTCATTTGGTTTTATTGATGATGCTGTTGTCATTCTTGCAATCCTTTAGGACTTCTGGCCTTTTGCTCCTTCTCATTGCCAGTGACCTGGACCCAATTTCTGGGAAGGAGAGAGTTCGTTTTGAAAGAAACTTGATGCTTTCAGCTCACTACTGGCTATTTGAATTGCATGTATTTTCTGGTTTCTTGCAGGATTTGATTTTTTTTAATGATACGGCGACCACCGAGATCTACACGATTCCAGCCAGTATTTCCGTGACCACAGATGCTGAAACCCTCTCATTCGAGAGTATACAGCTTTCAACGCAAGGTGCAGAGCGCCAGAGAAAAGACGTCAGGGCCTTTGTTGATTAGACCACCTTTGACACACAAAGCACATTTTGGTATTGGACTATATATATATATATATTGAAAAGGGTTTGGGCCCATTGGGTAAGAAACTAAATGAGTTCTTTCATCTCAGCCAAGATCATGAAGCTGAGCCAACGCTTCGAACTGTTGATGCATGAGCGCCGAAGCAAAGCTGGATCCGAGAACATCTCCGATCAGGATCTGCTCAGTGAAATCATTGGGCGCTTCAACGACTTTAAGTCCAATGCAGCACTGAAGCGTTGGCAGATCACGCCAGACCAGACTGCGGCCATCCAAGGAATTGTCTTGGGCACGACAGAGGACAGCCGCAATCTGGCGCGCAGTCACCTTGACTTTGAGAAGTATGAGGAGTCTGGAAGCTCTTCTCAGACTTGGGCATGTTTTGTGTTTGTTTTATGAGGTTGGTGTGTTTTACCAAACATGTGAGCATCACACAACCTGTGACCACTACAGAACAGGATACAATGAAAGCATCCTTCGCAGCCGGCGTCACATGCTGAATGAGTCCCCCAGGGGCAGCACAGGAACATGGCAGGAAGCTGTTGACCGTGTCTCAAACAAATTCAGTTCAACATGTTTGATTTGTTGCTGCTCAATTACAAATTCATGCAATGTTTGTTGGTGCTTTTTGAACATGGTGGTTCTTCAAAGTTCATGCTGAACACCCAGGTGTCGGAAGGTTCCCAATATTTGGCCTTCAAAGTCTACAACTATTGGTGGAGTTTGCACGCCAAGAAGGTGAAACGCACGATGCGTTCCAGGCTACGATGGCAAGAGGAACAGTGGAATCGTAATGTTGATCGGTGCTGCTTAGCCGAGTGGTTGATTACCGAAGCTCGGGAGGACTCGAAGGCTCCTTGGTTGCACTTCACTTTTGCGCTCAAGGTAGGTAATGATGTGTGGTGGTGGTAACATGCACCCTAAGGTGAGCGATGAGGTGGCGCACAACATGCTTGATGCCTTCATGCATGGGAATCTGGGCATTTACTTTCAACAATGTGTTTGCTTGCACCTTTGCAATTTGCCCTTCTGAAAAGGCATCCCAACCATGTAGTTTGCATGTGATCTCAGGGACTACAATACAGACTTGGATGCAGTGCTGATTGGGCGACCCAACAAGATCACTTGTGAGCAGTTCGCAATGTGGCAGGACCACGTATCAAAGGCCGTCGTGAAGGATGCAACAGGACCATGTGATGGCCTTGAGATGACCACTGAAGTGGAAGATGCTGAGGACTCATGACAACTTGTGGGTCAACAAATGATTGAACCTTTGCGCATGTGAAGTCACAACAGTTGGAACTTGTAAACATATTAATAAAGTGTCCATCAGGAGCAATTCAAGGATGCTGGTACAAGATGATCTGCACAAGCCTTGCAGCAGATTATCGTGAAGCAGTCAATTACAATTTGCGTCGAAACAAGGCCTCCTATGCACTTGCGATCTTTCAAAGCTAGCTTGGTGTCCTGACTAGCCCAACCCTGACAGTCAGGTGGAGGGCTCGAAGCATGTGATGAAAGACTCCTTCAAATTGCTGAGCAAGCGTTGTTGTTCTGCACCACAATTACACCCAAAATTAAGGAACCATTTTGAATTGAGTTCCAATTGGTGATTGTATGTTCTGCCATTAGCAAGGTGATCCACTTGCGGGACCAGATAGAGATTGGTCTCCGTGCCAGTGAACAACTGATGGAGAAACGTTGCCTCATGGTGTGCGCCAACGACAAGTCGCATGCCGTTGGCACCTTGAAAAGGCGGGTGATGGCAGATGCATCCACCAAATTTGAGGCAGACATCCAAAAACTGCATCACATCGGATTCATCGATCTCAGCAAGTTTGGCCGCCTCACTGTTCCCATCATTGATGAAGTGGCTCGCTGGTCCAAAAGAGTCCTTCAAATGAATGAAGATTACAGCAACTTGCATTGATTTTGGGTTTTGTCTCAATGTTCTACATGTTGCACTGTTGCAATAGCAGAAGCTATCACCTTTATTTTCAGTCATTTTGTGGCACCATTGAAAGGCACAGTGCTCGTGATTTGCCCAATGCTCCCTGGAAACGGCATTCTTGGGGGGGCTCCGTGGTGAATACCGCCGTGTTGAGGATAAGTTTGTATCCTTGGGTTGTGAACTGAAAACAGTTCAAATCATGCTGGACGTGCGAGGGCTGCATGGGAACAGGACCGGGTGGGTTTTTTTACAATGTATTTCAATGAACATGTTCAACAACCATAGTGTGGGTGTTGCAGCATTGCCTGCAGATGTATGCCAGCCAGCCTGCCAGCATGGATGGTTGTATTGGATTCGACTTTGGGATGCAAGTCTGGTACGCTCTTCAAAGCTCCAAGGGGAGCTGAAGTTGATGTGAAGGACACGAACATGTTCACCAGGAACTCTTTCTGGCAACAGTACACCTGCACCCCATCACATCCACTTCCTGTAAGCAACTCAATCACATTTCAATACTGATGTTTCTTTTTTTTGCTGTTGCTGATTCTGTCTCAGTAGGTTGGCTAGTGTGTTGAGTTCTATGTTGCATGATGAGCAGGTGAATATGCAACACCAGAAAGCAGCACGTTCTTCAGCCATGAACAAGGCCGAAGCTTTACAGATCCTTGCCTCCTTTGTTTTCTATGCTTTATTTCTGTTTTATTTGGATGTGTTTTTTAACTTGATTGGATTGATGTTGTTAATGTTACTGTAATGTCGTTGGTTTGGCAAAATGAGGACAAAGAAGAGACGGCTCAATGGCTTGCATCACCTGCCACATGCAAAGCAATCCTGGAGTCTCTCCTGGGGAAGGTCTCCAGCCTGAAAGGTCAGGCTTGCATCATCCACAACATGACGATGTACGAGGGCACATGGGAGAAGGCTGGTCGCCATTGTGTTTTCATGTTCAAGCTATTGTGCATCACCGTCGACCAGTTGCAGGTGGTATTGGATATGATGGTTGAGCTCAATGACGCGTGCTATTTGGCTTCCTATTCCGAAACCACCAATAATGCAATCTTCAGCTTTGCCACCACCCAAGTGAAAGACAAGTTGTTGGAGGCCATGTTAATCACATTGTGTTGAAGTTTGTTTCACATGTTGAAGTTGGGGTATTGAATTTTGTATTCACTTGTTATTTTCACGAGGTGTGCTTCATCTCAACCTGGGAGGACTGGAAGGCAGCACGTGGACTCATGTCAGCGGTTACTCCAAAGTTTGTTGCTGATGCAGACCTATCGGAGCTGACCCATCCCAAGATGCCACAACTCAAGGTTTGCACCATGACGGCAGCAGGTCATTTGCAGCTACCAGATGCAACACGGAAGAAGTGGCTGGATGATCCAGTGCGGAGCAGCATGGTGATTTTTTATGTTGACATTGTCTATTTGACATTTGATATTGTAATTTTCCTTGATTTCCCAAATCTAAACATTAGAGTTTGTTTTTTTCTGAATGTCCTTGCACTAAGACCCGGATTGGAGAACACGCTTAAAGAACCTGGGTGCGATTTTCAACCCAGCAGAAAGCCCAGCGGGGGCCCTCCCCGTCACCAAAGGCAGGTGAAGTGGATCTGGCAGATCCCAAGGCTGTCGCAGAGTTGCCTGGCAACTCAGATGAGGCTCAACCATGTGAGACACCACCCAGCCTTTCTGCTGAGGAGTTCAAGCAGAAGCATCCTGAGGTTCAAGCAACGGTTACATTGCCAATGGGACAGAATGTCATCTGTCACTTCGTGGACAACAAGTGCTACATCATGTGTGCCACCAAGTTTGCCCTTCCAGGCATCAAGTCCTCCAAGCCTAAGCCTCTATTCTGCTATGCAGGAGGAGGATGGGTGTCAGATCCAGCCAAGGCCCTTGGTTGCACAAAGTGTACATCTTGAGTTTCATTGCATTTTCAAAACTAATTTTTAACAAAGTTGGAACAAAAGTGTCAAAGTATCTGACAGGCGAAGGATTTCATCACAAAGAATGAGAACAAGGCGGTGGAGTTCAGGCTTGAGTCAGACAAGAGCTTGGTGTCGAAGCTCAAATTGTGTTGTTCTATTGCTTTTGTTTCTGATGTTCGTGACATTATGTTCAACATTGCCATGTATTCCTTTTTTGAGGTGGTATTGGAAGAGCAGACGGGCCAAGGGCCCCAAGACACGCAACCCATGTCATTGTATGACCTCATCACGCTATTGGAGAAACGCAACATCGTTGACTTTACCATCACTGGCCACAAAGTTGAACGGCCGGCATCCGTTTGTCGTGGGGAAGCCAAAGACACTTTCCAAGTGACCCATGATGCTTACAGCGTCTACAAGCCAAATGCTGTCCAGCTCAAGGCTGTGAAGGCTGGCAACTTGGCTGGGGTAATCGGGACGAAGTCGCTGTCGTCCTCCAAGTACATCTCTATGGTATGGCGCATCTTGGTATTGGAATCAACCTGTTCTTTATCAATGTGTTCCATTGTTGATATGTTCAGCCAGGAATATATAATATAATCCAATGCTCAATTTGGCCATGTAGGTATGCGCCACTACGCCAAAGACAAGGTTCTCGGACCGGCTAAGCCAATGTGGTTTTGCTGCGGAGATGGCTTCTTGATGGAGCCCAACAAATTTTACCTCGTCGTTGGCTGAGCAGTTTGGAAGTGACAAGCTTTGATGGATGGCCATGTCGGCCATGGGGTTGGGTAGGAATGAGGCTGCGCTGAACATCAACTTTCAGCTTTGCAGTTCATTCTGGAAAAGAGTGAGACCATGATGCCTGTTCAGATTTTTGATGTTGGGTCATTTGCATGTTTGTGCAATGCTGTGTCGTGCTTTTTCATTTGAGGCTTGGAGTGTAGTTTGTGTTGCTGTTTTTCTTGTGGGTACAGCGACCCATTCAGCCATGTCTGGTGGAAATTTGAAGATGCCTGTAATGCTTGATGATGATTCACGGGGCTGTGATCACATGTTGCTTGGAAAGCACATGAAGCAGGCAATCACACAGGCTCCTCAAAGGGCTGCACTCTTTGAATCGGCTGCACACCTGGCAAGAACACGCTCGGTGCCTGAAGCAGCTGCTACTGAGCAAAGAAGCAAGGCTAACTTCGCTGCAGCAAATGCCGTTCAGATGGTGCACTTCAAGCCCAGTTCTGACTTGCAGAAGTTCATGCTGAAGGCTGAACCAGATTCTTGGTCCAATTTGCAATCAAATTTTAGTGAATACACCTTGGTATATATATATATGTTTTGGTTGCGTTTTGAACCTCAACTGTTGCTACAAGGTTGCACCAGTGGAGAATGTTGCGAGGCCTCTTCGTCACGATGATGTTGTACGCAAGCGTTTGTTTGAAGAACCTCCCGCCAAGCAGGAATACCCTTTTTTCCGCAGTGGAGCACAATACTTTGAAGATTCTCCACATGTGGGTGGGGATGCTTTGGCTTTGGAACTTCGCGAAGAAAGCCAATTTGACCCACCATTCGACCCATGCGACAGTGCCCTCACTGGCACAAACAATGTCACTCCAGCCCCTTGACATAATGAAATCATTGTTTGTGCAGCGGCTTCATTTGTTTATCTAGGCTTCAGTGGTTGCATTGCATTGTATATGTGTGTTCTGTGAATTTGCAGGACACTGGTGACACTGGTGTGGAATCACAAGGGCTTTTGGCAGAAATACAAGACCAACACGAGGAGTCACAGGGTGCAGGGCTGGCTGCGGAGTCTTCAGTGCTCAACGTTGATGCTGAGGGCAATCAGGAGAAGAACTCAAAGTCTTCCCTGCTTTTGGATGAAGAGGCCACTGGTAAGGATGCTTCACTGTGATGATTATGATTACATGTTGTAATCTACGATGTGTTTCAACTGAAAAAACATATGTTTGATTTAACCAGTCTTTGTTCCCTAAGGATGAAGTGATTCCTGGTGTGCCAATGATGGAGCCTGGCCCAAAGCGTGTCCGTTCATCCACTCCTCATGTTCCTCCTGTGGGTTTCAATGGCAATGCTGAGCAGTCTGATGATGGGAAGCAGACTGATGATGCTGAGCAGGCCCTTTGGTGTTTGGGGACAAGTCTGAGTTTTGTAGGGAAAAAAAATGTTTTTGAAGAAACCATCTGAAGAGGTGAAAGCCAAGAAGCCACGCTTGCAAATCAATGCTGGTATGAGTCCTACAACCAAAGCCAAGATTGAGGAGGAACGCCTGGATCGCAAAAGGGCAGCATCCCGTGAGTGGCACCGTCAATATCAGAAGAAGGGTGTTTCTTGGCTTATTTGATTGAATCAAATGAACATTTACAAGAAACAAATTTCCTGAAACTTATATTTTCCTGATGGAACTTCAGTCGAGGTTCCCAGAGGATCAAAACCTTCAGCCAGTGGTGAACAGCCTGAAGAGCCTGTTCCGCGTGAATCTGCGAGTTCGAGTGGTTCTGGCAAGAAGATGTCCCCAGCCCACAATGCTCGTTGGGATTTTGTTGCTTTGTTCAGATTCAACACTGGTTATTTTTCTTTGTCTTTTTGTAGAACCACCAGTTGTGTTTTTACTTTCATGTGCAAATTTTGGAGCACAAGGTTCCCCGTTACATCAATGAACATGGCAAAGATTTGAAGGCTGCCCATGCAGCCTGGATGACGTCAAATGAACGTGCTGCATTCCAAGCAGCTGAGAAAGGGCTGCAGCTGTAAAGCTCTGTGTGTGTAAAGCTGGTTCTGATGCAATTTGGAAATTACTTGTG